TAACTCTTGAGAAGAATAAAAACTTAGTTTGTCTGTGAAAAGTAGAGCAGAAAAGAAAGCTAAGAGCTAAGTGGTGAAGTAAAAATTCAAAGGCCTATAAAAAGGGATGTCTCTAGAGAGAAATAAGAAATGATTTGTAAACCTGTGTTCAGCATACTCTATCCAATGTAAAATTTGCTTATCAAGTTAGAAAATTTTAGCAAAAATTGAAAAAAGGTCATTGACTTTTGGTATAACAATGTATTTATCATTTGGGGAATTAATGGGTTTCTTTTTTTTTTTTTGAAACCGAGTTTTGCTCTTTTTGCCTGGGCTAGACTGCAATGGTATGATCGCGGCTCACAGCAACCTCTGCCTCCCAGGTTCAAGCAATTCTGCCTCAGCCTCCCGAGTAGCTGGGATTACAGGCATGCACCACCACACCCAGCTAATTTTTGTATTTTTAGTAGAGACTGGTTTCTCCATGTTGGTCAGGCTGGTCTCAAACTCCTGACCTCAGGTGATCTGCCCACCTTGGCCTTCTAAAGTGCTGGGATTATAGGAGGGGTTTCTATATATTTAATGCTTACAACAGTATTTGGCACATACATACTGTAAACCTATTAGCTGAGGTAATGATGGTGGTATTGATGGTGATGATGATGTGATTCTAGATGGAACCATTATTTAAGAGACCACCATGAACCTCCACAGGCAATTCCTTACACCAAATATCAAGGTACTGCTGTATTGCCCCCCAGTTAATAACAAATATGTAAAAGTAGAATGTTTGATATGATTTTATCAATTTATGCTTATCAGTGCTTACTTCTATAGAAGTTCTTCTCATGAATCGCAAAAGGCATAAATCTTTATTACTTTTATTGCCTCAATTAGAGTCCTTGGAAAAAATGAAAAAAGGTATACAACGATGAGTGTTTTAATATGTATGTATAACTTATAAGGATTTAGAATTTAGGTCAGGTGTGGTGCTCATGCCTGTAATCACAGCCCTTTGGGAGGCTCTCTTGAGGCCAAGAGTTTGAGACCAGCCTGAACAACAAAACAAGACTCCATCTCTACAAAAATGTAAAACATCAGGCCAGGCGCGGTGGCTCACACCTGTAAGCTCAGCACGTTGGGAGTACAAGGCAAGTGATCACTTGAGGTCAGGAGTTTGAGACAAGCGTGGCTGACATGGTGAAACCCCATCTCTACTAAAAAGACAAAAATTAGATGGGCAGGATGGCGTGCACCTGTAGTCCCAGATACTCAGGAGGCTGAGGCAGGAGAGTCACTTGAACCTGGGAAATGGAGGTTGCAGTGAGCTAAGATCATGCCACTGCACTCCAGACTGGGTGACAGAAAAAAAAAAGTCAGCCAGGCTTGGTGGTATGTACCTCTAGTCCCAGCTACTAGAGGCTGAGGCAGGAGGATTGCTTCAGCTTAGGAGTTCAAGGCTGCACTGAGCTCTGATTACACCACTAGACTCCAGCCTGGGTGAAAGATCAAGACCCTGTCTCTAAAAAATAAAAGATAAGGAAGGAAAGAAAGAATTTAGGATTTATATGCATTCCAAAAATGTTAAATATACATATAAATATTTAAAAGTATTTAAAGTTTGGAGGTCATTCTTTAGGTTCTGTCTGGAAGGCCTCTCCTTGCTCACTCTCATAATTGGTAAACTCCTTTGACCCCTAAGCCTGAGTCCAAGTCACACTTCTCTCCAAAGCCTCCTGAGCTCCTTCAGGCTCATGTCCTGCTCCTCTTCTGCCTGCTGCCAGTATAGCACCAGACTGCTATATAGTGGCAGTTACACCTAGGAGTGTAATTGCTTGCATTACTCTCTTACTGTTAGACTGTAAGCCTCTTGAGGAAGAAAGTAGGTCCTTGATAAATATATGGGTAAACTTCAAATCATTTCACCTATGGTACTAGGAGGTAGGAGATTCCTAATATTTCAAGCAATGCAGATGTCAGACAGTGGTCATTTCAGAAAGAATATTAGTTTCTTCACACACATACAAGGATTTTAAGTCATGGTCTGAAGCACACAAGTGCAGTGTAGGAAAGTTGGTTTTGTGAAATGTTTGAGTGTCTACTGTGTTTTGTACTGCACCATTTGGTCACACACGTTTCATTTTATTAAATCTTCCAACAATCCCATCATATATGTACTTGTGTTTTCCCAATTTTCAGATAAGGAAATTAAGGCTAAAAGAGGCAGTAGGTCCAAGGTCACAGGTAATAAATAGCACAGTATAATTTGAGGCAGATGTTCTGAATCTAAATTTTCTTCCCACCATTCTATTCACACACTTGCATATGCTACCTATACTAGACAATTATTTGAGCTCCAGAGGCACTTTTCACACTTATGTCAAAATTTCTTAAGTGTTTAAAGTTTGCAAAGCGATGTTTCCTGAGCCCTGTCTCTCCCCACTCTCTGGAGTGAGAATTTATAGTTGAGTATGCCTGTCCTGTCCTGTGTCCTGAACATTAACACTTGAACTAGTTGGACCACTAGATGATGTCAAGATGTTACTCCTACTATAGCATCCACTGAGCACTCTATGGCTAGGCTTTTGCTTTCATTGGAAAAAATAATTTGCTCAGAGGGCAACAAATAAGTCCTAATTTTCTTTTCATTTAAACACCACACACTAATTCAGAGATGTCACCCATGAGATAAGACAACATTTGGGGACATAGGAAACTAGCTTCTTTTCTTTCTTCTCTTCCCCTGGTCTTTCTGAATTCAGATTTTTCTAACAAAACCAAGTTCTTTTTCTTTTTGAGATGAAGTCTCACTCTGTCACCCATATCTGGAGTGCAATGGTGTAATCTCAGCTCATTGCAGCCTCTGCTTCCCAGGTTCAAGTGATTCTCCTGCCTCAGCCTCTCAAGTAGCTGAGATTACAGGTGTGTGCCACCACACCCAGCTAAGTTTTGTATTTTTAGTAGAGATATGGTTTCGCCTGTTGGCGAGGCTGGTCTCAAACTCCTGACCTCAGGTGATCTGCCTGCCACGGCCTCCCAAAGCTCTGGGATTAGAGACATGAGCCCCCACACCTGGCTCCAAGCTATCTAAGTTCTTTATTTCTTTGTATTTCTTAGTTCCAAAGAAAAACATGAAGTCTATCAATAGGGAAATGAATAGAATCTAGGCAGCTGATGATGTGAGATTAAAAATAAAGAGAGAGATTGGAGGGGTGGGGAAAAGGGAAAATAAGTAACAGAGGGCTTTATGTTTGCTCTAGAGTGCTCTCACCTTTACCTGGGACCCAGGATTCTTCTCAAATAATTTTTCTCCATGTGCTTTCTTCTATAAGGCATGTTACTATCCCGGACTAAGATTAGTTTCCCATTTCAAATTATTGTTTGCTGGGATTTATTTGATCATGCAAAACAGAAGTTGGTTTCGAAGCAGTAAAATACGTCTGTAGTCTTTTGATACAAAATTATTTTTTGTTGCACGTCATCCTTTATTTAACTTCACTATAAAATCATTGAGACATAAAACTTCAGAGAAAAAACACTATTAATAAGGAACAAAAAAATTAGCATTTAATCAAAGCGTCTCCCCCTTCTTGACTAACATTATCTCCAAATTGGTCATGAGTGCTGTACCTCTTTGTAAGGCCATCTCTGCATTACACCAGGTGGTTAAAATTATGGGGTGCTGCTCTAACAGGCGGATTGAATAGTTGTGAGTCTTCATAAGAGGTAGTTTAAAAATCAGTGCCTTTATTGATACTTGAGTATTTATTATAGAGGAGTTAACCTTTGTATTGATGTGGTACCAGTTGCTGCAGGACTGTTTGAGCTTTGGGGTTTCACATCCTCTATCGCGACAGCTGGAACTTCTCATTTGCCAGTTTCTGTAGGGACAGAGCCATGTCAAGACTGTATTTATTTAACCTGCAAATTTTTCATGCAAGTCTGGATAAAAATAGTTGAGGCAAATGTCCACAATTCTGTTCTGTAATTCATCAGAATTAACCCTTGTTATGGAGTAAAGAATACATGCAGTGACATTTAGAATAATAAGAAGCCTGGAAAATCAGTTGGGTTGTCTCTTTCAATATCAGCTTTAGGCAATCTGAAAATCTATACAATCCTTTTGCGCCTGGCACAGTGGCTCATGCTTGTAATCCCAGCACTTTGGGAGGCTGAGGCTTGTGGATCACTTAAGGCCAGGAGTTCGAGACTAGCCTAGCCAACATGGTTAAACCCTGTCTCTACTAAAAATACAAAAATTAGCCGGCTGTAGTAGCAGCTGCCTGTAATTCCAGCTACTCAGGAGGCTGACACAGGAGAATCACTTGAACCCAAGAGGTGGAGATTGCATTGTGCCAAGATCATGCCACTCCACTCCAGCCTGAGCTGCAGAGCGAAAATCTGTCTCAAAAAAAAAAAAAAAAAAAAAGAAAGAAAGAAAGAAAATTCATACAATCATTTTGGATTGGTAGTTTACTTGAGGGTGGAAGTGCAAAATGATGTGCAAAGTTTAAGTGGCAATTGTATAGACAAATTTTTTACAATCAGCAGAAGTAAATGCAGAATCCTTGAAATGGGAGAGGTTTTAAATGGGATTTAGTCTATTTTGAAATATGCCTATCATGCTTTCATTGAAAAAATGAATAAACTATTGATAATTTCTTCCCATGAAGTGTGCCAATAAAATAAAGATCAATCACCAAACTTTTCTTTCTTACTAAGAGAAATAGATTTCTTGGTCAAGTGGCCTAAAAGTTCCAAGTGGCCTCAAAGTTCTTATTTATTTTTTTTTTTTTTTGAGAGGGAGTCTCACTCTGTCGCCCAGAATAGAGTACAGTGGTACGATCTCGACTCACTGCAACCTCCCACTCCCTGGTTCAAATGATTCTCCTGCCTCAGCCTCCTGAGTTGCTAAGATTACAGGCACCCACCACCATGCACAGCTAATTTTTGTATTAGTAGAGATGAAGTTTCATCATGTTGGCCAGGATGATCTCGATCTCCTGACCTTGTGATCCACCTGCCTCAGCCTCCCAAAGTGCTAGGATTTGAGGCGTGAGCCACTATGCCCAGCCAAAGTTCTTAATTTTTAATGCCAATATAAGTTCCAGGCTATCAGACCTAAATTTTACCCAAGGCTTTTGCATGACTAGTTTCTGAAAGTACAGCAGGTAGTCTGGCCGAACAAACGTAAGACCAATTCTTGGAATAACAATGTATTATCTTGTCAGAGAGTTCCTCTATAATACATCATTTGTACTGTCAATTGGCAACTACCTTTATTTTTCAGTAAGTTTTCTGTGTTTCTATTATCTACTCTTCTATTCTCTTAATCATTCTCTAGTGTCTTCACATTGGTGAATTGATCAAATGTCTTGACATTAATTGACATTGTAGAAAAAAGTGTTAAAAATTGATTGGTTCCAGGATTATGCTTTTTGTTGTTGTTGTTTTAGGAGATTGTAAATATTCCACTTTGAGTAGGGTGATTAGTAATTTAGCAAATGTTACTGGAAGAAATGGCAAATTAAAAAGAACTTAGAGTTTCCCTTGATGAATAATACTATATTTAATACATTTCTGTGCTTCTAAATTTTCATTACTTATCAGATATGATGTCAATTTAATATAGCCTTTTTAAAAAGGGCAACTACCGTAAAATATATGCATTATTTGTAAGATAATTCCAATTTTAGAAACTTTGCAATGTTGGAAAAAATAGGAATTAAGGAAATTAAGGTGTTCTGGGGTTCTGGAGTAGCATTTCAGAAAACTGTTGATAGATCAGGAAGTATGCAATTTTTAAGGCCCCCTCATTTTTTCCCCCAGCTAGTAGAGCAAAGAGGTAAATGGATATACTAGAGGCTCTCTTCTTATGAATCTTAGTTTTGTCCAATTTTGACAAATCTTTTCACAGGGACTTTATTTTAGCAAGTCGTTTGATAAACATGTCAATATGTATGTGATATACACATACATATGTAATATTTTAAGATTAGGGTATATTTGAGGCTAAGAAAGGAAAATAGGGCTATTATACTTCAAAATAAAACAGTGAAACTAATATATAAAGTTTTTACTGAAAATTTACAAATATTATAAAAAATTAAGAAAAGGGTGCCAATGACCATTGTATTATTGATGAAACAACAATGGAAAAAGCCCATGTATTCGTATTTAGATATATGTCTGCTTATTTGAATGTCACATTTTATTTTACATAATGATGTTTATTTTTTATTAAATATCTTTGGAATTGTTGGTGAGCTGGAGCCAAGAGTGTGATAAATTTATCATTACTTAGAAAAAATTTTTTATGTTATTTACCATGTATAAATTTAGTTCACCTTGTCACATCCAAACTTGTCCTTGGCTTTTGAAATTTGTAATACCTTCTTTATTGGGCAAAAATGCAAGTATGCATGATTCCTAAGTCCAAAAAGAGGTTATATGCAATAAAGTTTGTTTGATAACATGAAAAAAAGTTATTTTTTAGAGAAGTGTATTGTTATTTACCCAAATGGATAATGGGCTCTATTTTCTATGAAGAGAAAAGAAATACAATTCTAGAGATACAATGGCCATATACTTTGTTTTACATTCCTAGGCAAGGTACATGCTGTGTTTTATGCTATAGTTCTTTTCATTTGGTATGTGATGCATTTTAATTCCCCATGCACTTAGTTTGTATGTATACTTTTGAAAAATTTTAACTTTGAATCACATCATGTGTGTGTGTATCTACACATGAAAGATGTAAAATATGTTGATTCACAAGGGCATGCAAATTGCAAAATGTACATAAAATAAATCTAATCCATAAGTGCAATATTTCACAACTATAATGTATGATAACTATGTAAGGGAACTCAATTTTTAACAGATGCTGTGTCATGTTTTATAGTTTGTAACAAACCCCTTTTCTAAAAATGAAAAAAAAATTGTGTATCTTTGTACTATCTGATTATGCGCACTTAATTTCCCTTATTGATTCTGAGAGAATGAAAAAAATTATTTTTTAGAGAATTGTATTGTTATTTACCCAAATGGATAATTGGCCCTATTTTTTAAGAAGAGAGAATCAGTTCTGAGAGAACCAATAAGGGAAACCGAACAAGACGGCATATCAGTTACGGATGGGAACAAAGAACCAAAAACAGGAGCAGGTTAAGTTTGAAGAGCTGCCTGAGCTTCCTGCAGATGCATGTCCAAAAGCGATGGAATCCTGAGGGCTTGTTTCTGTGACTTTTGTTATCTCCAGCCTTCTTTTTATTGTGATGTGTGTGTGCACGTGTTTGCATGTGTGTGTGCACTCTTGTGCAGTTGCGGTACAGATATATGAAGATTGGCCGTCCACTTAGCTGGAATAATTTGGAAGATAACTTTCTGGAAATCAGTGTCCTTAGGGATTTGATGATTCCAGGTGAGTCCAGGTCACCAGGAGCCTTGCCTCCCATTGGATGGCTGGTTGAAACCCAGAGCAGGGCTCTGAAGAGATAGATATGGACCATAATGAATTCCCTAGCTCTGCCACTCTTTATTTCTTCTTCTGGTAAGAGGACGAAAATAGGTGTTGAAAATTAGGAAGCTGTATGCAGCAATAGCTTTGAGATTGGGCTTTAGAATCAGTAAACCTTGTTTGAGTTCCGGCTCTGCCCCCTGCTAGTTTCTCCACAGCGGGTGCTTCTGACTAAGCTGGACTCTACAGGATGGAAGGGAGGATGTGCCCTCCCAGAAACGCTGCATTTGCTCCCTGTTCCAGAGGAGCCCTCAGCAGGCTGATGGCTGCTCACACCTGTTGCAGGAGGTGGTCAGAGAACGGCTGGAGCAATTCTGGATTTTGTTTTGCTCAGAGGTGTTTACCTATCATTAGCCACTTGGTGGCACAGAAAATGTTCAATCCATCTATCTTCCTGTCTAGTGGATTTTTCAGTTACCCCATGAATTACATCTTTTCACTGACTTAACACATAGCCTTGGCCCAGGTGTCCTCAAATACAGCACTAACATGAAATGCATGTGTTGACTCTGCAGCCATTTTTATTTCTGTCTGAGACAGGTTTTAGGTTAGTAGATAAAACATTCTTGACATCTTTAATAGCCTTCATAGGGTCTTTTATAAATAATAGATGTCAACTGATAGTTTTTTTCCCTAAGCACTGATGACATTTCAAAAAAGAATTTGGTGGGTGGCTGCAGATTGCTTTTGGAAAATAAAAACTATTTACTTGTTTTACCGTCAAATGGCTCTTTCATTATTAATACTTTGCCGTTTTGAAAATGTTGTCTTAATGCCACAAAGAACATGTTGCACCAATGAGCTAATCATAGTCAAAGAAAACATTGATTCTAAGAGTGGTTTGCAGCAGTACTCTGTCCTAGAATGATACCTGCAGGGGAAAGATTATTAAAGGATGAGTTCTCATTCCCACCAAATTGGCTTTGGTGGGAGTGATATACGAAGCAAAGAAACCCATAGCTTGGGGGTTAGGCAGTGAAGGGGATCTGCATTTTTTTGGAGGGGAAAATTTTGTTAAAGAATAACATAGATTCAGAAAGTGCCTACCTTCAGTGTACAGTTTGATGAATATTTACCAATTGCACATGCCCATGTGACTGGTACCCAGAGAAAGAAACAGACATAACTGGCACTTCAGAATCTCCCATGTGTAACTTTATTTATTCACTATGCCCCCTAAGAAACCACTGTTCTAACATCAGAGATTAGTTTTGCTGTTTTTTAACCTTTTTTAGATGCATTGCTGAGCATGTACTATTTTATGTCTGGCTGTTTTGCTCAACATAATGTCTGTGAAATTCATCCATACTTTTGCATGCAGTTGTGATTCATTCAACTGAATAAATAATTTCTGTATAGTGTTGAATGAATATAATTTGTGTTGATGAGCATTTGGGTAGTTTCAGTTTTTAACTGTTACAAATAGTGCTGTTTTGAATGTAATAGTCCCCCCCTTTTATTCACAGTTTTGCTTTCCATGGCTTTAGTTATCCATGGTCAACTGTGGTCTGAAAATATCAAGTGGAAAGTTCCAGAATTATAAACAATTCATAAGTCTTAAATGCTACATTACAAAGCCTGTAGCATTCACCTTACTTCGTCTCATCATGTAGGCATTTTATCATCTCACTTTGTCACAAGAAGAAGGGTGAGTACTATACAAAAAGATATTTTGAGAGTGGGATTGCCTTCACGTAACTTTTATTAAAATATATTGTTATACATGTTCTATTTTATTATTGTTGTCAATTTCCTAGTGTGCCTAATTTATAAATTAAACTTGGTCATAGGTATGTATGTATAGGAAAAAATGTAGTATATATAGAGTTTGGTAGTCTCTGTGGTTTCAGGCATCCACTGGGGGGTCTTAGAATATATTCTCTATGGATAAGGAGAGACTCCTGTATTCTTATAAATGTCTTTTGGTGAACACATGACCATTTCTGTTGGGTATACCCTAAGGAGAGGAATTGCTGATAACCTTAGAAATGTTCAGCTATAGTAGATAATGCCAGACAGTCTTAAATTATACCTATTACCTTTTAAAATGTAAATAACCGCTGAAGCTCTGTTGCTACACCATCATTTCTGAACTATGGAGTTGCTGAAAATAACGCACCAGAATATCATGGAGTAGCCCTTCTGGCTAACAAGTACAGATAGCTGTAGATCACAGGAAGATAATTCATTAACACTGTTATGTACAGTTTGTAATCATTTTACCTAAATGTTATTGCATATAGTTTTCTGAAAATAGTTCTCCATTTTCTTCTTGTTTTTAATCATCTTTTTGTCCTCAGTACCTATTACTATGCTGTAGGTACTCCTATTAACCCCAGTTTACAGACGAGCTACAGAGCAATTGATTCACTTGCTCAAAGTTATATAGGTAGGAAGGAGGGAAGAATGTGTGTTCCTTCTTTACATATAAGTCATATAAGAGCTTTAAAAGTCTGACCAGGGTATAATTCTGAAATCCTACATGCAGAGAAAGCTGGTACCGTTGGTAGAGTCCTCAACAATTCCACAGAAGCATTTGGATAGTCTACATTAAAATGTCTGAGATGAAAACTTTCTACCTTATATTATTTACCAGTACTAAATTTACACCAACTTCTGTGAACATAGGAGGGAGAAATGATGGAGAACAAAGGCCCTGTAGCTGGGCTCTCTGTGTTTAAATTCCCACCACTCCAGAAGGAATTATCTGCAGAAAACACACCATGGTCTGTACTTCCCTTCTGGTGCTTTTTGCTTGGTTTCATGTATTATAATGATTTCTATATTCCTCTGCCTAACTGTGAACTCATTGAGGAGAAGGTACCATGTCATATTTATTTTAATTCCTCCCAGTGCCGAGTGCTGTGCCTTGAGCATGATGAATATTGATAAGTTTTTACTTAATAAATAATGAAATACTTAATATTTTATGTCACTATTTATGCCACATTTGCTTTCTAAATAACCAGAAACAACTTGAAGAGAAATAAAAAGTGCAAAATATAGTATTTACCTACTGGGACAACTGTGATAAATTTACAATATTTAGGCAATGATTGACAAAAACTTCTTGGAGGTTAATGCAAAGTGGAAATGATGTTCAGCAAAATCATTTACCATTTTGTAAAATAATAAACAAATAGATATTTTCAAATTATTTGTTTGCATGTTTGCCTTACCTCTGGCCAAGCCAGCTCTTTGTGAGTGGGCAACGTGTCTTACCGAAATTTGTATCTCCAGTGTCAAAAATAGTGCTTAGCAAATATACCCATGAAGGAAGGAATGAGCAAACAAATGAAAGAATGAAATAAAGGAAAGAAGGAAGAAAAAGAGAAAGGATGGATGAAAGAAAATGCATTTCTTGGAATTATTATTAAAAAAAAATAAGGATATTAGAATGACTGAGGCGTACTCACCATAGCAATAACAGCAGAATGTAGAGCACAGTAGTTCAGAACCACAGTTGACCTGCTTGGATCTAAATTCTGACCCCTTTACTTATTCAGTGTGTGCCCTTGAGCAAACTATTTAACTTCTCTGGGCATCAGTTTCTTCACTGATAAATTGAATCGCTAATACTAACTACTTCTTAAGGGTCACATGAAATAATGCACTTAAAGGGCCTGGCATTAATCTTGGCTGCTCAGGAGGCTGAGGCAGGAGAATCACTTGAACCTGGGAGGCGGAAGTTGTGGTGAGCCGAGATTGCACCATTGCACTCCAGCCTGGGCAGCAAGAGTGAAACTCTGTCTCAAAAAGAAAAGGGGCACCTGGCATTTAATAAGCACTTGACAAGTGCTAATAATTTGCTCATTCAGCATATTCTTACCCAGTGTAATGTACCAGGCACTATTCTATGTGCTGAAGCTAGAGTAGTTAAGCTACTTAGTAAAACAAGGTTCCTAGTTTTATGGAGTTTGCTTTCTAGTAGGGGACAGGGACAGATAGTCAATAGGCATATAAAATCAGAAAGTGGCAAGTGGTATGAAAAAATATAGCAAGATAAAAGGATGGAGTGATTCATGGTGGCGGTGAGGGTGCTGTTCTAAATATGTTGATCAGAGAAGGTATATTAGTCCGTTTTCATACTGCTATGAAGAACTACCTGAGATTGGGTAATTTATGACAGAAGAGGTTTAATTTACTCACAGTTTCGCAGGCTTAACAGGAAGCATGACTGGAAGGCCTCAGGAAACTTACAATCATGACTGACGGCAAAGGGGAAGCAAGCACCTTCTTCACATGGTAGCAGGGAGAGCGAGACCGTGAAGGAGGAAGTGCCACACACTTTTAAACCATATCTCACAAGAACTCCCTGTCACAAGAACAGCAAGAGGAAACCTGCCCTTTTGATCCAGTCACCTCCCACCAGGTCCCTCCCCTGACTTGTGGGAATTATACAATTCGATATGAGATTTGGGTGGGGACACACAGCCAAGCCATGTCAGAAGATCTCTCAGATTGAATGACATCTGATCAGAGACGAGAAGTCAGAGAAAATGGAGAGTCCAGGTGGAGAAGCAGTGAGTGTAAGGCCTTGCAGTGTGGAGGGCGCTGGATGTATCAGAGGACAGCAGAGGCCACTGAGCCTGGAACACAATGAGTAGGAGGAGAGCTAAGGCTGAATTCTGAATTTGGTGGAAAGCCATTGGAGGGTTTTGAGCATGGTGGGTGATGGCATCTGCAAAAAATAATTCTGACTATTCTGTAAAGAGACAGTAGCAGGGTGTGAGAGAAAACAGGGAGAATATTTAAGCTATTGAAATAGGCCAGACAAAAGATGATGGTGGCTTAGACTGTGGTAGCAGAAGTGGAGATGGGAAGAAGAGATCATAATTGTAATTCACATAGAGGTAGACTTCATTCAGTTTGTTGATTGATTAGATGAGGATATGAGAGAGGGATAAGGTAAACTTCAAAGGTTTTTGGCCCAAGGAACTTAGTCAATTGGAGTATTCATTGACAAAGGTGGAAAAAATGGGGAATTTATTACAGGTGGTAGGAGAGATCAAAGATACTGATTTGACTATGTTAGTTTTCTTTTATTCATTTATTCATTCACTATTGATGCATCTGCTATGTGTGCCAGGCACTGTTGTAGACTTTTGGAGTAGATCAGCCAGGGTCTGTTGGGGATGTCACAAATCTCTTCCCTTGAGAAGTTTTCATTCAAGTGGAAGAAGACGAACAATGGATAATAAATAATACATAAGCACTATAAATAATAGCTCACTCCCCTTGTGAACTCTCAAGCTATCTGCTTCTCTTTGGTCCCCACCTTTTCAGTTGTCTCATGTATTTTTGCTTTCCAACTTCTTGCATTCTGCTCAGCTCTGAGGCAATAATTAGGCTCTTAAAAACAAAATTTTTACTTTTTAAGAGCAGTTTTAGGTTCACAGCCAAATTCAGTAGAAGGTACAGAAATTTCTCATATACTCTGTTCCCATTCATGCATAGCCTTCCCCAGTATCAACATCTCCACCGCCTAGTGGTACATTTGTTACAATTGATGAACCTACACTAACACATCATTATCACCTGAAGTCCTTAGTTAACATTCACTCTTGATGTTGTACATTCTATGGGTCTGGAAAAAATGTACGTTGTCATGTATCCATCATTATAGTATCATACAGGATTTTCACTGCCCTAAAAGTGCTGTTTTCTGCCAGTTCATCCCTCCCCAACCTCCAGTCCCTGGCAACCACTGATCTTTTTACTGTCTCCATAATTTTGCCTTTTACATAATGTTATATAATCGGAATCATGTATTTATGTAATAACCTTTTCAGATTGGCTTTTTTCAGTGAGTAATATGGACTTAAGGTTCTTCATATCTTTTCATAGCTTGATAGCTCATTTCTTTTTACACTATGAATAATATTCCATTGTCTGTATGTACCACAATTTATTTATCCATTCACCAACTGCTTCCCAGTTTTGGCAATTGTGAATAAAGCTGCTGTAAATATCCTGTATATGTTTTTGTATTTTCAACTCATTTGGGTAAATATCAATGAGAAATATTGCTGGATTATATGGTATGAGTCTGTGTACTTTTGTAAGAAACCTCTAAACTGTCTTCTAAAGTGGCTGCACCATTTTGCATCACACAGTGAATGAGTGAGTGAGAATTCCTGTTGCTCTCCGTCTTGTCCAGTATTTGGCATTGTTGGGGTTCTGGATTTGGGCCATCCTAATAGGTGTGTAGTTCTACCCATTGTTGTTTTAACTTGCCTTTCGTAAATTACATATTATGTGGGACATTTTTTCCTATACTTATTTGCCACACATATATCTTTGTTGGTGAGGTGTCTGTTACGGTCTTTGGCCTGTTTTTCAATTGGGTTTTTAGTTTTATTGTTGAGTTTTAAGTGTTCTTTGTATATTTTGGATAATAGCCCTTTATCAGATGTGAATAGGCTCTTCTTTGTCACACATTTCACATCAAATGTTATCTGTAGATCTTATTTACATCTGATTTCTCCATAATGAAATACACTTATCCAGGCTTAGTGTTGCCTAGATATTTATGGAGTGTGGTTATTTAGTTTAGTGGCATCAGCCTCTTTCTGCTTAATGGCAAGCTGTTCCAAGTGGATTATTTATTCCAGATTCATCTTGTCATGATTCCTCATGATTCATGAG